TTTTTTAGAATAAAAGTAGGGGAGAGTGTTTTTTTTTTATTTAAACAACAAATTATTAACAATTTCTTTGCACAGTTTTGTAGAGCATAGAAAGTCGTTCAATTTTCGTCGTAACAATTTTTTCGTATCTACTATAGTTTCCAGGATATACAGGGAAACAGGAAAACGTAACTTAAAGGGTGTTTTCGCTATAAAGAACCAAACGGTAGCGAAAAAAGTGCAAATTGCCTGATACTTTTACCGAGGTCTCCTATGAACTTGCAAAGTTTAAAAAAACATCGAAATTTTTGGAATACCCAAGTTTTTCGTTTCAACGAACCTCGCTAGACTGCAGTTTGTGCGTCTACGCTTTGGGAACACCCTATATATCGAATCAAACGTTGAGACTTTCGGTAGACGATTGGTTTTGCTTCATTAGTCCAGCTTATCTAGACTTTTTTCTCGTCTGCTTCTTGTAGATTAATAATAATGAAACAATGATTTGCTAATGATACGATGACTATTTTTAGAACCGTGATGGTTCCTTAGGGATCGTTTTAATGGATATCGCGAATTTCTCTGGAAGCTCTTGAAACGAAAAAACGGTTTTGATACTTTGCAACTGGACTTCCACCATAAGTTGCATCAATCTAACCTAAATTCGTTAACCTCTGCAAATTGAATCGGTATACGCAATTCGTTAACCTGTAAACATCGGAACAGGCTATATCGCGAATTTCCTTCGACGTTCTTAAAAAAAAAAATCGATGTTTTGAGAGTTTTAAAGTGGGCTTCCCCCTTAAGTTTCATCAACTTATCCTTAATTCATTCGTGTCTGCGAATTAAATTGGCATATAAAAATCGTTAACATGTAAACATCGAAACAGGCTATATCGCGAATTCCTCCCAAAGCTCTCAAAAACAGAAGATCAATTTCTTAACACTTTCAACCAGAACTCCCCCCTTAAATCGCATCAACCTAACCTAAAACCATTACCATCTACAAATCAAATCTCCATATAATCCGTATCACTTGGAAACAAGCTATATCGCGAATTTCTTTCTCTCTCTCTCTCTAAAAAAAAACGTCCACAGGAGGGGCCACGTGGCAAATGAATCGGCCAAAATACAATTTCACCTCCCTCTCGATGTGTACCGAAAAAGTAGTCACTCTCTCTCTCTCGCAGAAACGTCGCGAGAGGCCGATTATACAGGGTGGCTGGTGTCGTAAATAACGAAGCGAAGGCACACGCGTCTAATTAGCCAGGAAGCTGTTCGGATGGCGCGTCTGACGGTGTTCTGGGACCGTGGATCCCTGGGGAGTGGCACGGCGACGGGACCGGGTGGCACAGACTCGATTATCTCGGCCCGTGTGGCGACAAGCCATAACCAACGGGCTCGCGCGCGTCTTCTCTTCTCGAGATCATCCAGCGGCAGTCACCACGCGTCCCTCGACCGCGAACAAGCGTCTCGAGAGGGTGAGTCGCGCGCCGCGAGCAACATCGGTTTCGACTATAGCGCGCAGTAACGCTCGTATATCCTACACTTGGCGATCGAACCGATCGAGATTCAGCGAGTTTTATCTCCTCGCGTCTTTCTTCTTGTATACACCTAGGTAATTGGAAATGAGTCTACCTTGAAATCGTCGACAGATATTTCATCGACCGTTCACTTTATGAGACACCGTGTAGATTTCTCGACAATGTGTGTTTTCGTTGTGACATAAAAAAACAACGTAGCTGGAAAAGTGGCAAGATTTTAACGGAAGTAAATTCTCGGGGAAATTGTACAAAACGTAACGAATAATGTTTGTACGAAAAATTATCGTTGATTAGTATGATTTATCGATCGGTATAAGGGTGGAGAGGTAAGTTGAAATTGGAGAGCGTTTGTTGGAGATTTGAACGTGTGGATCGAAGTCGACGTCGGTGAAATAGTGTCGATGAAAATATCGTGGGGAGTTTCAAGGTGAATTCGTTTTGAAATTTTCAGGATTTTTCGAGAGCTGTCGTTTTTTGGGATACTCGGGTTAAATTTTTAGACAAGACACGTTTTTATTTCATTCTTAACTAAAGACCATTTTTCTCAGAGACGAGATTGAATTTTCATTTTGCTGTGAGAAATTAGTGGAAGAAAATTCTTCTGTTGAAAATAAGTATACAGGGTGAGTCGCAATATTTCTCCACCCTGAATAACTTCGTTTTAAAAAATTCACTGCTCTTTCAAATTTTCATAGAAAAAAGTATGCGTTCCGTTTAAAAGTTTCAAGGTCGCTTTGGTAACTCGTGAACAAATAGATTTTTTAAAGAAATTGTTTCAGTATCGTATGTTCCCTTTGGTACTGTGCAATTTTTACATAAAACACTTTTTTATGGGACACATATTTTGGAAGTTATTAGAGATAGACTACAAAAGTTTCTAATTTTCTGTGTAACATTGTTTTCATAAAATATTGTTAAAACCATGAACAATATTTTATAGTTGTATTAGAAATATTAAAAGAAAAGTAGTGTGTCACACGTGAAAAATAAGTTTCGACAAATTTCGTTAATAAATAACACTTTAGTAACTAAAATTTTTATTTTCGATAAGGTCAGTCTTTTTCGTGTCCAATCCAAGAGCTGTTTCGACCCATTTTTTAATAGTAAACGATACACCTGAACAGTATTTAATTAGACACCCTTAAAATCCTAAGACTACTAGCCAAATTACGAAAGAAATAAAAATTTTCATTACTAAATAGCTGAATAACTGATAACTTTCTATCGCAAAAAATTTCAAACCAATTTCCTCAGAAATTTACTTCAATTAATTGTGTCGTTTTTTTAACAAACCGACGATTTCAATTTAAAATCGATTTTCATTACCAACTGAAGATAACGAATCTTTATTTCAATTTAATCTGAGTATTCCACGAAACGGTTCTTCGAAGGTCGTCACGTTCCACTGTCCCACAAGTTATATTTCTATCAATTTTCCGTCACACGTTAAAAATCGAGTGATCTTTTTTTTAGACGTGAAAAGTACAGTTTGCGAAACGAAGAAAATCGAAGAATTCGAGAATTCTGTTTTACCAATTTCCACGAATATCGACGACGATTTAACGTGATTTAATTAAAAAAAAAAAAAAAAAAAAAAAAGAACTGCAAAGCGTAGAAAAGTGTAGATTTGAAAAGAGGGATATTTAGATAGATTCCTGGAGGAATGATAAATACTTGAGTGGAGGAAGGAAGTGTGCGTGGATCTGTTTCCGATTTGTCGATGGTACCGTATCGAGAACATTGTAACAGTGTCAATCGGAAATGATAGCGCGCGGAGGAAATCAAGACAGTGACTAATTGTGGAATAATTTCCATGTGAAGCACGAAATAAAAAGCGAGGAAAATATAGTGGTAAATAAAGTATCGTCGACTGCGTTGTTGTTGT